CCGATTCCTCTGGGTCTTCCCAGTGCACCAGGCCCGAGCACTTGTCTCATGCATCCAGCCTGGGCTGGTGATCTGTTTCACCCTAGATAATATACATGTTTTGATGCTGTTCTCTCAAAACATCCCACCCTCGCCTTCTCCCACAGAGTCCAAAATTCTGTTCTGTACATCTGTGTCTCTTTTTCTGCTTTGCATGTAGGGTTATCGTTACCATCTTTCTAAATTCCATGTATATGCGTTAGTATACTGTATTGGTCTTTAACTTTCTGTATTACTTCACTCTGTATGATGGGCTCCAGTTTCATCCATCTCATTAGAACTGATTCAAATGAATTCTTTTTAATGGCTGAGTAATATTCCATGGTGTATATGTACCACAGCTTTCTTACCCATTTGTCTGCTGATGGGCATCTAGGTTGCTTCCATGTCCTGGGTATTATAAAATTCACTTTCTTAATTAAACATAATCTAATGCCAGACTGACTTTGTACAAAACTCTTTTCTCAGGGCTCCCTTTTTACAAACCTCTCATAATTTTTTGTATCTATACTTGTTTGTCCCATATTTTCATTCCCATACAGAAATAACCAGTGTTAGGGAAAAAATCACTTTCTTCCTCTAAACAAAATGCATTTCTATTCCTCATACCATCTTTCCCTGAAAGTACAAATCCTACTTTCCTTGAATACTGAAATAGTTTTCTTACTATCCCTGTAGCTTTAATTACATATATTACAATTCTAAATCTTAAAAGTCTTAATCTTTAATGAAAACTGGTGAGCAAGTATTTGTATGTTCTGTCACACCAGTTGACAAGCCACAAATTTGATAATAGGCATTTTGCCTCCAGCTTCAATATTTTATTCCTCATAAACCATACCTCAATTTCCTTGTCTATTCTATGAAAATAATAATAATGATAATTAGTTTTGCAATCAATTTATATATGGAAAAGCACTCTGCACAATATAAAGTCCTGTACCAATCTAAAGAATGCTTATTTTTCCCCCCTTTTCCTTCAATTTGTACTCTACTAATCCTCACTAAAGTGTTAGCTAATGCCAAACTTGAGGTACAGTTTCTTCGTGTTATATTTTGAAGAATGGAGTATTTCCTTCTGTATCAGTAAACAAGGATGCCACAGTCATCAGCCATTGCAGTCCTCCAATGTAAGCTGGTGAGTACTAAGGGAACTCAGGAAGAGGGATGTCTGTCATCTAGTAGCCATCAGACTACAATCACTCCCCTTGGTGAGTCATGAGAAACTCAGTATGTGGAAACAGGATACTGACCCAGATAGCTCAGGTGCATATCAAAGGAATGATTTCAGTGAACCCAGACTCTTGCATCTTCCCATACACAGAAAAGTGCTAAATTCCTTAACTTGGGTTATCTGGTTTTCCTTAACTAACAGTCACCTTTTGATGTTCAGACTACCTGCCTCTTTTTGAAACTCTATATAGCCTGGCTCCTCTCCTTGCCTCCTCAGATTAGTTCTCCCAGAGATACTTGAGAAGCTGTCTTCCATGCTTAAAGTCCTAAAAGTTCCCACATATAACAACATGTATAACATAACATAACATTTCCCAAGTAAAGCATAACTCTCAACTTCTTAGGTTGTGAATACTTTTTAAAGTAACAATTTGCTTTTAATAACTTATGCAAATAGCTAACATTTATTGCACCATGACTCTTAGCCAGACACTACTATAAGATGTGTATTTACTCATTTCATCTTCCCAAAACCCCTATAAAGTAAGTATTTTTATCATCTTTATTTTAAAGACATTCCCTGACTCAGAGGGTAGTTGTGTGATGAAATGAGTCCATATGTGTAAGTGCCTGAGTGCATAATAAGCACTTTGTAAATGTTAGCTATAATTACTAGTATCAATCCCCTGGTTTTCCTAATACAAAGGGTGAGGCACAGAGAAGTTTCAATTCCCTTGATAAACTCCAAATTAAGGACTCTGAAGAGAGCCCATCCCTACATTCTGATATTATTCCCTTTAAGGTAAACCCCATCATTGTGGGGTACAATAATGTGGGGGTATAGCCCCAGGCTTGACCACAGCCAAATCTGAACCAAAGCGACTGCAGTTGCCAGAGTCACTTAGCTCTGTAGGGTAGAGAGAATAGATCTCAAAAAATAAAACACCCTGGAGGAAGCAAGCTGAGCAGTTTCCCTAGGAAACACAAAAAGACCTAAGCCATTCTGCAGGCAGGGTTTTTCACCTATATTAGCATATAATGCGGATAAGGCAATGGCACCCCACTCCAGTGCTCGTCTGGAAAATCCCATGGATGGAGGAGCCTGGTGGGCTGCGGTCCATGGGGTCGCTAAGAGTCGGACAAGCCTGAGCAACTTCACTTTCACTTTTCACTTTCACACGTTGGAGAAGGAAATGGCAACCCACTCCGGTGTTCTTGCCTGGAGAATCCCAGGGATGGGGGAGCCTGGTGGGCTGCCATCTATGGGATCACACAGAGTCGGACACGACTGAAGTGACTTAGCAGCAGCAGCAGCAGCAGCAGCATATAATGATCCACTGTAATCACATGGTCTTTGCTACTTAACAATGCACTGCTTTCATATTTATTATGTCAATTTAGCCTCACAGTGGACCTGCAAGGTGTCTTTGAGAAGGAAGAAGATTTGGTAGATGCTAAAACCCAAAGGGAGAGGGGTATTTGTCAGGAGAAATTTCTGGCTGATCCTAGACTAGAACTCTCATATCCCACTTGCCTCCCAGTTTCTGTGTGTCAGGGGAGATCCTGTCCCTGTTGCACTCAGTGTCCCCATCATCTGTAAAATAGAGTGATTGGATCAGATGGTCAACAGGACCCCTGTCCTACACCAATGTTCCCTGGCATTCAGCTTTTCCATGCCACTTTGCTTATTCCCTGGACCTCAATGCCTGTCTGGGCTGATGTTTACTATTCCAAGGATAGATAGGTAGCATCTCTGAGCAACCAGCAGAGGGCATAGGAAGCCTGCCAAAGAGATCTAAAATCCAAAACAATCCACTGCACAGCAAGAAGTCTCCCACTGGACTCAGAAATAGCTGAGAGGAAAAAACTAGAGAATGGCAAAGAGGAAAGATACTCAGGAATTATCTGGTACAAATTCTCTGGATCATATGGAGAAATTGAGGCCCAGATAAGGGAAATATGTCTCAGGTTCACAAATTCAAGGATATAAATGGCACTAGAAGAAGCCAGTTTCCTGACTTCAGACACTTCCTTCAGCAGGGTTAACCAGCTGCAGTACTGTTTTGAATTGTTTTCCTGACTAGATATTGTTCACAATTATTAATAATTTATCAAAATTTAATAATTGCAAGTTTCCACTTTGTGGAAACCTGCAATGTGTCACAAAAGGTGATAGACTGGGTACTCTAGCTCATTTGATTCCCTATAACAAGTCCCCTTATATAGGGTGTGTTTTGTCCTGTTTCACAGATGAGAGGGAAAATCCCACTCAAGCCTTTATGACTCCAAAGTCCGTGCTTTTAAAGAACCTACAAAGCATCTCTGTGTCCAGTCCACACAGCCACTTAGTGAGGTGCTGTGCTCATCTATGACCATTTTCCTAGTGATTGGTAACATCAGACATGCAGTCTCCAGCTGCAATTATCAGCTAATGGAATCATTAAGTATGTTTGTTTGTTTGCTTGTTTGATTGTTGGTCTTAAAACCACTACAATAAAATTTACTCCTAATAATATTATGCCAATCTTTATATTCTTAAAGCTTACCAAATATGATAAAAATAGAAATAAAATATTTATAAACATTAATTCCCTTCCAGAAAAAGCAGGCTTATTGCTTTTGTCCTGCTGGGACCCAATTTCTCTCAAAGTATGATTTGATAGATGACAGGACAGGTTGAGAACTATCAGGCTAGACTACTCCCATCACCACCACCAAGAAGAATTTTAATTAACTACCCTTAAAAAACACTTTGCCTTAAAATTATCTGGATAAACTATAGCATATCTGCTTATAAAGACATTCTTAAGTCTCAAAGCCAGATAGTCCCTTCTCATACTTATCCAACATTCCTCCTACTACTTTTAGCACATTTCTTTTTGTCCATGCATAAGGGCATGGTGAGCACCTACTTGTCATCACTCAAGTAAAATCCCTGGAATACTACAGACAACTAGATAAAAGCATCAGACTTGGAGTCAAAAGTGAAAATTTGAATCCAAATTCTGCCTCAATCTATGACTCTGGATAAGTCATTAAACCCCTCTTCAGCTTGCCTCTTCACTGGTAAAATGAGGATAATCACTCCATCCTCACAAGGTTACTTTAATTAAATGAAAACAATGTAATGTGACTGTACTCTGACAGATGTTGGATATAGTGAATGCTGGAAGAAGGTTATTGGGCTTTTTTCTACCTACATTCTTCAGGCTGAACAACAGAGTGTTGTTGTCAGAAGATACCTAGAGATTTTCCAGACACCAAGAAAGCCCCTTCCCCTCCACAGGGAAACTGAGGTCCAACAAGATAAAAGGACTCTTCTCAAAGTCATAAGGACAACTGGGAACAGAACTGAGACATAAATCCAGGTCTCCTGACACTCAGTCCCAGAGGATTTGCTGGACACCAGTCTCTGAATTCAGCTCCTGTTGGAGGGGAAGGATAGGGTGGCAAAGCCATGGAAATGCCCCACATCTAAGGAAAATAGGAAACTATGGCTGTCTTGAGCATCATTAAATGACCCTGGGCATTCTTCTGGCATCCCCAGAGCTTCAGTTTTTGTTCAAATTTGAACTGAGGTGAAACTGCAGGCATTCAGCCTAATGAAGGGACAAAAATTGCCCAGTATTTTAGGATGAGTCAATTCTCAAGCAACTGACTGGTGGGAACATTCCTTCTGGGACATTCCTGATGGAAGGTAGGGTTATGGGAAAGGCATGAGAGTTTAACTGGCTTCTGGGGTTCTGAATGTTTCAAATGGTGATTTGGAAAGTCAGCTCCCACCTTACCTGAGTACCCAGGACTCCAGTACTGGACTTGCTGGCTTTCCTCTCTGGACCTGCTGTTCTCATATCCAAGTCAGGCTGTCCTGCCTGGATGGATGTCTCGGGCCCCTTGCAGTCCTCTGGTTTCTCCATCTCATCAGGCTTCTCTTCTAGCTTCTCCATGACAGCCTTGGTGGTTAACTTGGCACAGGTGCCCAGCTCAGGGGAATGTCCAGCACTGTCATCTTCTTTAAGGACGCTGACCACAGTCTCAATGTCTTCATCAAGTTCCTCTGAGGAGTTCTCCCTGGAGAAGACATGGCCATAATGGCAACTGCACCTAGTCTGTGGAGTTGGGTCATTCTGGAGCTCAAAGACAGGTGAGGTGGAGGTTGAGACTAAGGCAGCAGCAGGCCAGGGCTCTTCAACTGCCTGGCCCAAATTCTTCTTGCCCTCAATGCTCATTTCAAATGTGCATGAGGCTTGTGAGGCCTTTTGATGACAGTGCTGGCACCTCTCAATGACACTGCCCCACACCATAACCTCAGGGGGCTGGCAGGGCAGGTTGAGTGGGAAGGAGGCCTGGGAGGCAGCACCCTCTATGATGAGGGCTTCACTGCCACCACTGATGAAGTAGGTCTTGTCACGCTGATGGCTCATCTGCAGCTCTTCCCGGGATAATGCACGCCACTTGCGGGCCACCTCGGCCACGTTGCTGAAGAACTTGATAACACTACCAAAAGGCAGAGCCTTGTCTCGACGCAGGTGCCTAAGGCTCTCCTCGTAGCCCCTTTCCACATCCCCTTCTAAGGTGGAGGCCTTAATGGCAGACTCAGGATGCTGGATTCTGGAGTCTCCAGCTGATCTATATGGGGCCTCACAGTCTCCAGAGAATGTGTGTTTCATGTAGCTCCTGGTCCACCTGCCCCTACCAGGCTGCTCAGAGGACTCTTTTTCGCAGTGATCCTCCTCCACATGGATGCCAAAATCATCAAAGGCCAACACTTTCTGGTTCTTGGGCATCAGTCTTTGCACATCTGCAAGGAAGGGCTCCAGGCCCTCAGTGTGTCCTGAGTAGGAATAACGAAAAGGCTTTGAGGCCTCCTGGGTCTTCCTCATCTGGTAAATATGTGACACCTCCTGGGGTTCCTGGACCTTGCTGCTCCTAGGAGTAGTATTCTTGGAGGCCCCAGCCGAAGGCTTCAACCTCTTGAATGACTTCATTCGATCCTTTAATGTGACTTTGGGCTTCAACTCTGATGGTCTGGAACTGTCTCCCAGTAAAATCATGGACTGGGGTCTCTTCCCCTGACTGGAGGCCCCTTTTCTACGACTCATAAAATTCCATATCTTGTTGACTTTGATTTTCTTCTTGTTCTGACCATTCTCTTCCCTGGAGCTCAAATCACCGTGGTCACACTGCTCAGACTTCTCCACCCCTACCTCCCTGGCCAGGCTTTCTACCTCAGGATGGCCTGGGAAGACCTGAACCAGGTAACCATTGGGCACCAGATCAGAGAGGAAGGTAGTCCGACAGCTGCTGAGAGTCTCCATTGTCACAGCAGGGGATGGGGCCACAAAGGCATAGAGGGAGGGTTGGTGAGTTATTTCCAGCTGACAAGGAGAGAGAGATAAAGAGAGGGGAAGAGAGAGCTAGATTACACAAAGCCACAAACAAGGTTTTTGCAGATTTGTCACCATCAAATAAATGATTCATACTTTGTCACCACTGGACCACCAAATTTTTAGGACCTTTGTAAAGCAAAAGTGAATTCATTTGGACCCCACTAATTTAGGATTGGGGAAGATCACAGCTTATCCAGTGTGCCAAAACATCCTTCAATTCTTATTTAAATGCAAATATACTTGAGAAGGACAAAACTTAACAGCTATTATAATCAGATCTTGATAATTGAGTAAATACATTAAAAAGCCAAAAAATAAATATAAAAAAAACACAAGGTATCTCAAAAGTATATCACTTTGCTCCTCTCATTTTATAGAGAGGCTCTAGAAATCCAGAGAAGATACTTATCTTGTCTAAACTACAAAACCAAGGGAGCAGCAGGTAAGGATCCAGTCCATGCTTCCCTCTGTCATTTGCTCCTCCATTTACATAGGAAAACAGCAGGAAGTGAGTTCACCAGTCAAACACCCACTCAACACTGACCCCTTAGCTTAGAGCTGGACACCACTAAGATTATGGACACATACAGCTACTCATCTGAGATAACTTGCCACTGGGAGAGACTTGTAGACATAAACAATTACAATACAGCCTGATAGGTGCTCTAACAGAGGTATCCACAAGGGCAGCAGAAACGTAGAGGGAAGGAGAGAGGGAACAGTAGAGGAGCTACCTCTTCAAGGAAGCAAAAAGGAGATTAGAGGCCTCAAGAATGTTTCCCAGAGCAGCTGGGACTAGAACTAGTCCCATGAGTGAGCTTCACTCATGATGAAGTCTTTCTCCATTCAGTGCTTTTTGACCCTCTGCCTTGAACAGGCTGGAACAGAATTTGCTAAGAGGGAGAGAGGCAAGAAGGCAGGTTAATATTCAGAGACTGTAAGGAAAGAAAGGGAAAAGAGGAGAAAGTGGGTGGAGCCCAGAGCTTAAAGACAGTTTCTGCCTTTTTGATGGTTGTCCCAGGTGTCAGGTTACTAGCTCAGGGTCTGTTTGTTCCTCTTCCTCTGGTCTGGTCTGCAGAGTTAACTTCACTTTTGAAGTATGTCTTTAATCTGTGTCTTTCCTATACTTGTGAGCACAGACTGTGCAGAATCTGTTTGACTCACAAAATGTTCATTTGATCAGTGAGATTATCTATCTTGGGAAAATGGGACCAAAAAGAGGAAGGGACTTGAAACAACTGACAAAGGATTAATTTCCAAAACATACAAGCAGCTCATACAAGTCAATACTAGAAAAACAAACAACCCAATCAAAAAGAGGGAAAAAGGACCTAAACAGACATTTCTCCAAAGAAGGCATACAGATGGCTAACAAACAAATGAGAAGATGCTCAACATTGCTCATTATTAAATAAATGCACATCAAAACTACAACGGGATATCACCTCTCACCAGTCGGAATGGCCATCATAAAAAGTCTACAAACAATAAATGCTGGATAGGGTTTGGAGAAAAGGGAAACCTGTTGCACTGTTGGTGGGAATATAAATTGATACAGCCACTATGGAAGACAGTATGGATATTCCTTTAAAAACTAGGAGTAAAACCACCGTATGACCCAGCAATCCCACTGCTAGGTGTATACCCTGAGGAAACCAAAATTGAAGACACATGCACTCCAATGTTCATTACAGCACTATTTACAATAGCTAGAACATGGAAGCAACCTTGATGTCCATCGACAGATGAATGGATAAAGAAGCTGTGGTACATATATACAATGGAATATTACTCAGTCATAAAATGGGACCCATTTGAGTCAGTTCAAATGAAGTGGATGAACTTAGAGCCTATTATACAGAGTGAAGTAAGTCAGAAAGAGAAAAACAAATATCATATACTAACACATATATATGGAATCTAGAAAGATGGTACTGATGAAAGTATTTGCAGGGCAGCAATGGAGACACAGACATAGAGAACAGATTAATGGACATGGAAGTGGGCAGGAAGGAAAAGGTGGATGTATGGAGACAGTAACATGGAAACTTACATTACCATATGTAAAATAGATAGCGAATGAGAATTTTCTGTATGACTCAGGGAACTCAAACTGGGGCTCTGTAATAACCTAGAGGGATGGGATGGGCAGGGAGATGGGAGGGAGCTTCAAGAGGGAGGGGATATAGGTATACTTATGGCTGATTCATGTAGCTGTTTGGCAGAAACCAACATAATTCTGAAAAGCAATTACCCTTCAATGAATAAAATAAATAAATTCAAAATTAAAAAAAAAAAAAAAACAAGAGGAAGAGACTTGACTTAGGTCATATGTCAAGCCAGTGGCAGGCCAAGAATAAAAGCCTAGTCCTGCCTTCCAGGCCAGGAAGTTTCCTTACCTCAGTCCCACATTTCTACCCTCATCCATGAATTCTGTTTCTCCAAGTAGGCTTTCTGTACAACTCAAGATGATAATAACAATAGCTAACACTTATAAATATGAGGCACTACATTAAAATGTCTCTTTATTTACTTAGATCTCACAGCTCTATGAGGTGGTTACAACTGTCATCTGAATTTTAAAGACAGTTCAACCAAGGTGCATAAAGGTTAAATGATTTACCTAGGTTCTCCTTATGGACTGTAGCCCACCAGGTTCCTCTGTCCAAAGGATTCTCCAGGCAAGAATACTTGAGTGGGTTGCCATGCACTCCTCCAGGGGATCCTCCTGACCCAGAGATCAAACCTGTCTCATGTCTCATGGCAGGCAGGTTCTTTACCACTAGAACCATCTGGGAAATCCCAAGTTCTCCATAGCCACTAATAATATATTTGTGATTTGAATCCAGGCAACATGAACCCAGAGGTCATACACTTAACCATTACACTATATTCCCTTTCTAGAACAGGGATTTACACAGAGAGAATGATGGTTCAACATAAGTCTCCCTTCCTCCCTGCCTGTCTCCTGATTTCCTTTGGTAATATCAGAACAGAATTAGCTTCCTAAAAGGCATCTGCATACATAGCCCACAGTGGGGTGTGGTTGGGAAGGAGGGCAGTAGATGAGGGAAGATGATGACTATTTCTGATAACCCTCCTACAAAAAGCCTTCCCAAATTAGGCAGGTAAACTCAGAACTCTCACTTTCCCCAGTTTTCCATCTTGTCATAACCCTTCCCCTCGAGATTTGCTTCATGTGCATAGCCTCTCCAAAAAAATAAATAAATAATATTCTCAGAAAAGATCCAGTCTTAGCCTTTAAGTATAACTAAAATTGAAGAGAACTTTGAGATTCCCTAGTCCACCCACTCACTATTTCACAGGATGATACTAAGGCACAGAAAGTTCAAGTCAAAATGTTCACTGAAGCACTATCTACATACAATAGTCAGGAGATGGAAGCAACCTAAATGCCCATCAACAGAAGAATGGATAAAGAAGATGTGGTACATATACACAATGGTAGAAATGAAAAAGTTAAGTGTTATTTGCTAAGTTATGTTTGACTCTTTGCGACCCCATGGACTGGAGCCCAAGAGCCTCCTCTGTCCATGGAATTCTCCAGGCAAAAATACTAAAGTGGGTAGCCATTACCTTTTCCAGGGGATCTTCTGACCCAGGGATTGAACCTGGGTCTCCTGCATTGCAGGCAGACTCTTTACCATCTAATCCACCAAGGACGTCCATAATGGTATATTACTCAGATATAAAGTCATTTGCAGAGACATGGATGGACCTAGAGATTGTCATACTGAATGAATTCTGACAGAGAAAGACAAATATGTGATATCACTTACACGTATAATTTTAAAAAGTGGTACAAATGAGCTTATTTACAAATCAAAAATAGTGTCATAGATGTAGAAAACAAACATACGGTTACAAAAGAGGAAAGGGGGGAAGGGATAAATTGAGAAATTAGTATTGACATATTGGGCTTCCCAGGTGGTGCTAGTGGTAAAGAATCCTCATCACTATACATAAAACAGATAACTAATAAGAACCTACTATATAGCCCAGGGACCTCTACTCAGTACTCTATAATGACCTATATGGGAAAATAATCTAAAAAAGAGTGGATAACTGATTCATGTTGCTGTACAGCAGAAGCTAACACACATTGTAAATTAACTATACTCCAATGAAAATCAATTTCAATTTGAAAAAAATAAAAGTATACCAAGGGCACAGTACATATTTATGTACCAATCACAGCTGCAGAGCTGGAAAGAATACTGGAAACTGTTTATCTGGGCCCCTCATGTTGTAGCAGAGTAACTGAAAATAACAAAGACCAAGGACCTACTCCCAGAACCTAAGTAGTAAATGAAAGAGTAGGGGTCAGGCTTCCCAGTATGGTGACCAGGCCACTGTGCCCCTCTGGTTCTTTCACTGCTTTAGTGTTTGGAGGAAATCCATTGACAAAAGCAAAGACTACAAAGCTGTATTTCCTTATGTGGGCAGATTTAAGAATGGATACAATAAAAATGTATTTTAAAACAACCCAGTTTGTTCTGGGCACTGTTTTATGAGTCTCAGTATATAATTATGATTAACAAAAGAGATATATGACGTGAATCCTTATTAATAAATCTCATAAGATTCATAGGACCAAAATGATACGAAGGCACAAGCAGAGCCATCATCATATCACACAACAGGGACCTCCTTTGTTACAAAGCAAACATGCTCCATTCATGCCATAATGGAGCACTTACCTGAATTTTGATTATTTATTTACATGCCTGACTACCTCATAAGAAATGGAACTTTTTCAGGAAAATACCAATACGAGATCTTGTTTACCTTGCTGTTCTCAGTATTTACCAGGTGCCTAACATACTACTGATGTTCAATAATGAGGTTATAAATCAGGCTGTCAGCAAACCAAGGCCTGCCACCTGCTCTTGTAAATAAAGTTTTAT